AAAGTGACGAATTGGACATTTTCAAGAATTTCAGTAAATTATCAAATGAATTCGTTGAGCGTTGGGTAGACTTCTCGATGAGCAACATCACACGTATATGCACTGCAAGTGCAGTTATTGCTTACTGGATTATCGCATTTTACGGCGTTATGCAGATCAAGGTTTCACTTCCCTCTGGCTGACTAATTTTCCATTCACTTGACTTCTTCATTAGTTTTAGGTATTAGCTTTTAAAGCCAGCGTGTAAAATGAACGGCGATAAGGTTTGTTTTTTTTTTTTTATTTCTGCTACTTTTTACAGCAAGATAATTTGTTTCACACCTATGGCATGCTAATGCTTGCAGGTTGGATTATCTTCGGAGAAGCTATTTCCGTACGATTCACCACTGCTGCCTTTTGTCAAAATACAGACCGAGATTATCTTTAAGGAAGGTGGCCAGGTACATTTATTATACCTCTTGGCATACTGTTAGCACACTTTTTGTTATATTTTACACAGACCAAAAGGGGGCGTTACAATAGGACTACGTGTAAGCATTTGTCTGTGTAGTCGGACAATTTTACACCAACAAAAACTTAGGAAACAAACTCTCAGAGCATAGTTTCCGCCCTGTTGGGTTTCAGATCCCTCTGTGCTCCGACATATAGAAACCCTTCTTCTCTATTCGCGGTCACACGAAACACCATTGAACCCGATTCTTCTTTTTTCATATAACAATATCTGACAGAAGATTTCCTCTCTCCTCAAGAGAGTATCTGACAAAAGCAAAGGACGTGGCGGAAACGGATATTTGTTGCCAATTCAATAATCATCCTGAAAATGTCTACCCTGCCGTCACTGCAGAATCTTAGGTTAAAGTTGCTTTAAAAGTAAGTTACGATATAGCTGTGGCAAATGACGACAAAGGAAGGGAAAGTGAGGAAAGTCCCCTCTTACCTTCAGAAGTCACGTGTTGATTTTCCCGTTTTTGAATAAATAGTTTTTACTGCTCAGTATTTCTGACTTTTATTAATAATATTAGAATGCAAGAGTTGCTTGTGAAAACCATTCACTATCTCTCAGCCGTTGGCTACCCCTTACTAAGATCCCAGTTCAGTTCCTACTCAGCGGCATTGAGTAGCTGCTTTCGCTAACGATTACCTACTTTTGCACTCGTACGGCCAGAGACCTATTGGTTTCAAGAATAATTCCACTTGAGATAAAGAATTAAAAAAAAATTATTGAGATATACTAGTTGATATTAGTTTTATTTACAAGAGAAATTTTAGAATAAACCGCTTCAAAGTTTTTCATTAGTTTTGAAGACACATAAATCGTTTTTGCAGGTTGTGGTGTTCGTAAATAATCCTGGTGATTTCCGGGCACCAGAAGTGATTCCTGAATTGATGCAGCTGGTGGAGCACTTTGAGCATGCAACCGGAAGTATTGGCTCAGCGAGCACTCATTTGTGGCTCATCCCATATCTGTCATATGTAGGAATACAGGTATGAAAAAGCGCATGCACTTTGAGTTGTGAAAGCTTCAAAACGAATCGAAAATTAAATTGCATAAAACATTCTAATTACAGGACTCGCTAACCACGTAAACTGGAA